ATTTGGTAGTCTGGTCCTAGCCTCGTCACTACTTCGCCGAGGTTAGGCTAGGCACTTACCAGCACATGGGGTCGGTTCTGCTGATACTACACTCTGCGCTGTGTGCAGATACTGATACAGGAGCATTTGGACCGTAGTGAGGGTGCTGTCTTCAGTCCATTCAGGCGACCCGAGGTAGTCCTGCAGGCGTCGGCGGGCCTTGGCGTCTCTTTCTATCTTTCTCTACTGTTTCTACTATGTATTTCTGAAACAGTTTGTATTTATTTTTCGGACCTTTATTTGTAGTACTGTTAGACAGTCTGTGAAATTGTGACACCAGATCTGGGTAGCTTTTAGTTATGGAATCGTGCTGGAAATATTTAAATCGTTATATTTCTTTTCTTCCGCTTATTTAATTCCGCTGTTTATATGATGTTGTTCACCATTATCGAAGGATTTAAAACATAAGAAAAAGGTTAAGTAATTGGAATAATTGGCTAGCCTAGCTTCCATTAGTAGGCGCCATCACGACCCCCGAGGGTGGGAAATCCGGGTCGTGACAAGAAAGAGAAACGAAGTGTGGAGAAATCTGAACAAAAATAGTTCATAGTTCTTATCCGAGCTTTCCGGTGCTAATTCGAGTTCCGTCCGCGGTTCGTCACATTTTTTAGTTCAAAACAATGAAACAATCAGTTTTCTGGCTATTTTGAGGTTTAATTCTTTCATCCTCTATTCGTTTTATTCAAGCTTAATGTTAATTGTTTGTTTGGTGATATGATTCTGTTGTTTGTGTAATTGTTCTCCATAGTTCTGAATCTGCTCGCTTAGTTATCTGCTCGTGTTTACTCGAATTTGTTATAATTGAACATGATTTTATCACGGTATAGAAATTGGGTTGCTTGGGTAAAACTTTAAAGAAATTTAAGTTCAAGATAGTAACATTGTTCTTTTATTCTTGTTTTAATTACTTTTCGAGTAGGAGCATGCTTAGGCCGTCATCATTCGGGTAGGCAAACCTTAGGTTTTCTTCCATTTATTTGAGGCGAAAGGTCGTTTCCTGTAGTTCATATTCAGGGGAATGCCCCGTAGAATTTGTATATATTATTATCTGGGGTATGTCCCGAAGTGAATGTAAACGAAGGTCGTGATGAACCTCGTGGAAGAAGTATGGTATATATTAGTATTTAGGACTTTATTTTTCTTTTGTATTTTCTTTTATTAGGTGGGGACGACCTCGAGCCTCTTTCGTGTTTGCTTTCCTTTTTTCTGTGTTTATTACCTCAATTCGAATATTTTAAAAGCCAATTAGATCGAGTACGCAACCATACTAGTTACGGGACTTGGGAAGTGCCTAACACCTTCTCCCCGAGTCAAATGAAACCCCTTATCCGAATCTCTGGTGCAGACTTAGTTTTGGAGTCCAAAGTGTTTTAAAAGGAAAAATCATTTAAAAAAAACGGTGACCTGGCACACCGAAACCAATGTCAGGCGACGACTCTGAAAAGTCCTTCTGAACACAAATCTTTGTCACCTTCTAATTTTAAAAAAAGGAGTGTGACAAGCATTGCTGTCTCGGAATTACTTTTGGCCGTAAATGGAAGTTGATGTTGAGGCCTATGTGAAAACTTGCCTGGTTTGTCAACTTGACAAGACTTAACAGAAGAAGGAAGCTGATTTGCTACAACCTCTACCGATTTTGGAGTGTTTGTGGGCTTCTGTTTCTATGGACTTTATCATCGCGCTTCCAAAAGCTGATGGAAAAACATCATTTATGGTGGTAGTAGACATGCTCTAAAAGTATGGGATTTTTATTGCTGCTCCAACCGTTTGTTCTTCTGAAGTAGCTGCTAAATTATTCTACAAGCATGTTGTGAAACACTTTGGGTTCCAAGAGATATTGTGAGTGATCGGGATGCGAGATTTACAGGCCGATTTTGGACTGCTATGTTCAAATTCTTGGGGACTGATTTAAAATTCTCGAATGCAAATCCCACAAACCGATGGGCAAACCGAGCGTATCAATCATCTGCTTGAAGAGTACTTGTGGCATTATGTGACTGCTAATCAGAGGAATTGGATTGAGTTACTAGTTAGTGCGCAGTTTTGTTACAACTTGCACAGGTCTTCGCCAACTGAAATGAGTTCTTTTGAGATAGTGTTAGGAAGACAGCCTGACACACCACTAGAAGTTGCTCAGATGAAATCAGGGGACAAGTGTCCTGCTGCTTATAGATATGCTCGCGACAAGCATGAGTTGCTGGCTGAGGCGCGAGACAACTTGAGAAAAGTGGCTAAAAGAATGAAAAGGAACACTGACAGAAATAGGCAACTTTTGGAGTTCAATGTTGGTGACAAGGTGTTGCTGAAACTTACTCCATAGATTTGGAAGAAAATCAGTAGCAAGACGTGTCATTGTGGGATGATTCCAAAGTATGATGGCCCATTTGAAGTTGTAAAGAAAGTAGGTGAAGTTGCTTACCGGCTGAATCTGCCGGAATGTCTCAACATTCACCCAACTTTACATGTGAGTTTCCTGAAACGGTTCCATGAAGATGCTGAGGATCCGACAAGGGCGATGCTAAAAGCGTGCTCCTCCAGTAGAGCGCAAGCAATTTGAGGAAACTATTTGAGAAGATTTTGGATCACCGTACGCTGGGTCAAAGGAAAAAGAACAGACAGATAGAGTTTCTTGTTCAATGGACAGGTAAGTAGGAATGTGATGCAACATGGGAGAAAGGTCCGTCTCTGTGGCAATTTCAGGATCAAATCAAGGCGCATCTGGATTCTGCCTCGTCGAGGGCGACGAGCTCATCTGGTGGGGGAAGTTTCTTAGCCCCTCGACTTGATTGATCGAACATGGCATGGGCGTGACGGGGGATTTACATGATGGACCTCGGCATGACCCTATGATGACTGTGGCATCATGTTGACAAAGCTTGTCCGAGATGGGCAGGTGGTGATGGGCATGGACTGTGACCCAACGACATGCGGCTAAGGTGTCAAGGCATGACAAGACCATGGCATTGTTGTGGCCATGGCAAAGCAAAGACAACGGGCAGTAGAAGCATAAGCAAAGGATGGAAAAACTAAGGTAAGCTAAGGTAGGGCATGGAAAGGCAGATGGGCGCGGGCAAGGCAGTGTCATGGGCGAGCTGGACAATAGCGATAGTGACAGATATGCGCGCAAAGGAATGCACATGCAGGGCAGTTGGCCAGTTTGGCAGTTTCCTATTTTTTAGCATAATGGCTATGTGGGGCTGTGGGCAGTTCTTGTTTGAATTTTGAAATTCGAATTCCTTGGCAGTTGGAGATGTCAACTGCTAGATAGGATAAGGCTGAGAGCCAAAAATATTTGTCTATATAATTCTTAGATAGGCAGATTGTCAAGCCAGAGTATTGGCTGCCTTTGACTCCTTTTTGTAAGGCTGTGTTTATGTGTTTATGTGTTTCTTTGTAGCATGAGTTAATACAAAGTTGGGAAGAAATTTCTGTAAATTGTGTGTCTTTTCCGATTTCTTTATGCTGTTATAATCTAAGTGTTAAGCCAAAAACGTGAGGGAAAAAGAAGCGGGATGAGTCATCATTGTGTGACTGCCATGCAATGTCAAAACGAAAAAAAAATGACCCGGTAACACTAACACTCTGTTTGGATCATTGTTCCCCAGTGTTTTATGATGTATTGTATTGTATTGTATTGTATCGTTTTATGAATACAATGTTTGGATGGATTGTATTGTTTGTTATATTAAATAATATTTTGCTGTTTGGTTTGATTGTATCGTATTGTACTGTAACTGATAAGTTTACTAAAATACCCTCAATTGTTTAAATATTAAATTTATCAAAAATTATGCATAAAAATAATTTTAAAAAACAAAACAGAAGAAGGCAAAACACCTTAAGAAAGCAGAACAAAGGAGCGAGACAGAAGAAGGCAAACCAAAGGAGCACAACTAAGTAGAATTAAGTTAAAAGCAAATTAGGAGAAAAAATAAAACAGAAAGCGGCAAAACACCTTTAACGTTGGCGGCAAAAGTTCTGGAATAAAACAAAATAGGTCATAGGTTGGACATTTGGAGTTAAAATAGCAAAAAAAGCTAAAGGGTAAAATAGAATTTTGGAGTAATAAGTTAGGGTATAATTGGAAAGAAAAATAGGAAACAATCCCACCACACCAAATCGATTGTTTAAAAAAAAGGACTTTCATTATTCCGGAACAATGAATTTAACAATACATTACAATCAATTTTAATAAAACAATCAAAACAAACATTATTTTGGGATAACAACACAATACGATACAACGGGAAACAACCATCCAAACAAGCGGCAAGCATGATACATCATCCTACCAGGTGAATATACAATATGTGTTTTTGAGATATGCACTAACGAAACTTGTAATCCAAATTTCGATACTCAATTACCTGACTGTTAAGAACCTTCAATTATATTATATTGTTTTCCTAATCTAAACGTATACTAGTTCATAGCGTTCCAAGAGTGGGAAAAATACTTTTGAATTTATCATACCACAATATTGAAAATAAAAAATCTGTCTCTTGTTCAACCATTGTATAGTTTACTATATTTAACAATTTCAAAAGAAAAGTATGTCCGGTTTAAGTTTTCAGAAAACAGTTAAGTTGACCTTAAAAATTGGGTATAATACATCTTCCTAGGTGAATATAAAAATGCCTTTTTGAGATCTGCATTTCAACGTTGGTCCACCGATTGTCTCTTCTTCTATGAAATTTATTCCACCACAAAAATAATTTTACAACATCAATGTACGAAGTGAAACGAAAAGAATAATTTTACTTTAGGCATGCTTTAACTTTACGAATTGGATGTGGATAACGGTACGCAAGGGAAAGATATAATTGAAAATTTACTGTTCTTCCTTCGTTTCTCTCCAATCAATAAAGAAAGGAAAAAAGAACTACTTCACTCTCTATATTAATTTATTAGTTGCTTTGGATATGAATTAAGCACACTCATACTTGTGCACCATATTCAGAATAAAATAGAACCTTTACCTCTCCATAAGACGTTATTAAAATATTTGAAAACTCAAATTAAAACTCATCTAGGTAACTAATCCTCCCACTCAAGGGATATTTTTGTTATGTTATATCATATACACATTCAGAAAGTCACTTTTTTTCCCCTTAAGAAAGCAGAGAAATGAAGGGCTTTCTAATTATTATCTGTTTAGTCGCCTCCATTTCTCTAATCTCCTATGCTTACAATGCTGCTGTGGTTACAAATACAAATAAACTAGTAGTAGAAAATATCAGCAAAGAAGAAGAAGAAGAAGAAACAAACATATCCCACATTCTGTTTGGCATTGGAGGGTCCGCTAAAACATGGAACAATCGCTCGTGTTACTCTGAGCTCTGGTGGAGACCAGATGTAACGCGAGGGTTTGTGTGGCTCGATGAAAAGCCCCAAGAGAACGAGCCATGGCCTGAAACTTTGCCACCCTATAGGGTCTCAGAAAATACTTCCAATTTCGAGTACACGTGTTGGTTTGGTAACAGGACAGCGGTGAGGATTGCGCGGATTGTAAAGGAGAGTTTTGAATTAGGTTTAAACAATGTGAGGTGGTTCGTAATGGGAGATGATGATACTGTGTTTTTTCCTGAGAATTTGGTGACGGTTTTGGCTAAATATGATCACAATCAAATGTATTACATTGGTGGGATTTCCGAAAGTGTGGAGCAGAACGTAATATGTTCCTACAGTATGGCTTACGGCGGCAGCGGCATTGCTATTAGTTATCCTCTGGCGGCGGAGCTCGTGAAGATTTTAGACGGTTGCATTAATCGCTACCATTACTTGTACGCTTCTGATCAGAAGATTGGTGGTTGTATGGCTGAGATTGGAGTTCCTCTCACGAATGAACTTGGTTTCCATCAGGTATACGTGCATATCTTTTAAATCCAAGATTTTACTTTTCTACAACTCCATCATTGTCATTTTAAAAATTATACTACTAACACTATCACTAGTTATTTTTCATTTGGGTAAATAACTTAGTATTCAACCAAATGCAGCATCACCCTTTTTGAACCACGAGTATTAGCTCATTTTTAAAAAATAAATATATAAAATATCTAGTTTGATGAAATGACTATGGGTTCACGTGCCCCATAAATCTTCCCCTAACTATCACTATTTAGAGCACCAAAAAGTTTTTCTTTAATTAGAATTTATCATATAATCTTTTCTAAAATTTGAAGATATACTCCCTCCATCTCATATTATGTTGATGTAGTTTGATTGGGGACGAACTGTTAAAAAAAAATATTCTGCAACTTTTGTCAAAATTGACAAAAATATTTGTATGACTAAAAATTACTATGTCATTAAAGGTTAAATGAGAATTTTATCATTAGTTTTGGGAAAGAACAAAAAGAAAAATATACCACAAATGAGACTGAGGGAGTGATCATACTATTTTTATATAGCTGTCAAATATGTATATTCATATGGCAGAAGATAATTAAAAAAACATGTATTTTTTTAATAATAAATTAAGAAATATATGTCTAGAATCACATCCAATGTTGGACCCTTTAACCTTGATATTCCAAACAACAAAATCCTTTTTAAGCACACTATATCTTTTGATGGAAAAAAAATTAATGAATAAGTTCAGTAGCCTCTTGTTTTGTGTTCCTATTCATTGTAGAATGGAAAGAAAAGAGCAATTACAACTATATATCTTATGTAGAAACTGAAAGATCTGTTTAATATGTTTGTTTAAGATGGATATAAATGGAAGCGCACTAGGGCTTTTGGCAGCTCATCCAGTGGCGCCGCTAGTGTCACTGCACCATTTGGACATGCTCCACCCGCTAATTCCATCAATGAGCCGAGTTGAGTCAGTCAAGAAGGTAATTGAAGCTTATAACAAGGATCCAAGCCGGATAGTGCAGCAGAGTTTGTGTTATGACCTAAAGAGAAATTGGTCAGTATCATTGTCATGGGGTTACACAGTTCAATTATATCCATGGCTAATGAATGTCAAGGAATTGGAGACTCCAATTCAGACGTTCAACACTTTTCTAGGGTCAGAAGAGCCATTCACATTCAATACACGGCCAAACTATGTAGAACCGTGTAAGAGGCCTATAGAGTATTACTTGGATCAAGTTACTGACATTGGCAATGGGGAAACCTTGACTAGTTATAGTACCAAATTTGGTGATTTTAACAAGCAATGCGATAACCAACGTTATAAACCAGCTTTAGCAGTTCATATGGTAAATGTCACCGCGTCAATGTTATCTCCTAAAGTATGGAGACAGGTAAATTTCTATTTTTCATCTTTCATTTTATATGAACCTATTCTTTTTGGCTCGCGATGTTTATGAAAGAAAAATATTTTGGAACTCAAGGTCTTTATAAGAGTACTTCCTTCGTCCGAGAAGGATGATACTTTTCGGATTTTTAGAGGTCAAATGAGTTGTTCTTTAACCATGATTTTATCATATATCTTTTAAATATTTTAAATTATGAATTATTGTGACTTATAGTATTTTTTTTTTTTTTTGTAGTTTTCAAATATATAAATTTTACTTATAAAAACATAAAGATTCTATGTCAGAACTCATAGTCAAAGTTAAGAAGTTTGACTCTCGAAATTTTAAAAGTATCTTTCCCTTTTGGATGGAGGGAGTACTACATATGCATTTTGTAAGAACTAGAGTGTTTAAAGGGTTAAATTTTTGCCAATTATATATAGAAATGTATTCTTCTTTTCGGAACAGATTAAAAAGAAAATAGTATCAGATAAAATGAAACCAAGGTTATTTAATTTGATGAAATCTTTCTTATTAATTTTACTAACACATGCAAGATTGATGAGTATATGTGTACAAACTTTTCATATTTATGAAAACAACAGGCACCGCGACGACAATGTTGCGAGGTAATCAATGATATTGGGAGCGTCCTACATATCAGAATTAGAGGTTGCAATCAGTGGAGATCGGTAACGATACCCTTTCACGACAAGTATGGAAACTTTGCCTACTTTCAAAGAAAGGTTCATCCAGTGACGAATAGGACAAGACATTTAGAATTAGTACTTGAGAGATCAGCAAATTCAAATTCCTAGCTGTTAACCAATTATACAGAAATGTCTGCTCCTCGATCCCCTCTGTTTTGACCTATGGTTATCGTTTGTAAGCTATGTTACTCGGACTTTCCGAAAATATTGATAGGTGTGTGTCCGATCCTCAAAAAATAGTAATCCGACACAGGTGCACCAACTATTTTGGAGAGTCCGCGCAATATAGTTTGTAAATAGGTACGAGACTTGCATGTTGTTACCTTGTCCATCCCAAGTGCGGTTCCAATTATCTTGTCTTCTACCATAGGAATCCATACCTGTTCTATGTAATATCATATGCAGTCGGACCTTTCTATAACAGCATAGCTATATAACAATCATTCACTATAAAAGCCATTTTTTTCTTAGAACCAATATTTATATCATGTTATAATATATATTCTCGATAACAATACTTCACTATAAGAATCAAAAAATATCGAAACAAATGAGGCTGTTATAGAGATGTTTAACAGTATAATAGTATATCCATTTGAACAAAAAAAAAATAGGGGTAAATATATCCATCATGATAGTATGTTGCAGTCGAACAATTTTAAATCACCCCTTCAAAGGACGAAAAAACTGGATAATAAATAACTCATACTACTTTTGAAGTTTTCATTGAGATTAGAACTTTGGATCCGCAATATGTACAAAGATTAACGCTTATTTTATACATTTGAAGCATTAATCTATTATAAAAAAGTTCAACATTTTTAAGATTCACAAGGATGGGTTCAGAATAGATCAATCCTTTTTATTTTCTATCATTTGTATTTTTTGAGTCGCAAATTTGACCTTCTGATTTGTATTGTATTTTCAAAGTAATTCGCATATGAATCGATTGTACTTTTGAAATATGCGACAAAAACAACTTTGAAACTTCAGTATTATAATAGGTAAAATATGGTCATGAGTCAAACTAATCCAGAATAAAGTGATTTCAGGCCCATGGTGGAATGAGTAGCACACGTGGCAAGTACATATACAGAAAAATAAAGAAAAAAACAAAATTTACTTTCAAAGGTGAGATATGCAAACAAGGATAAACTAATTTTAGTTAAACCATGATGATCCAGGATTGCAAGAGCAAAAGTCGAGCCATAATTTAAATTTAAATGTTCTTTTTAAATACTTATCATTGAATTCATTACATTTTTAAAATTAAAAGTTTAACTTTATAAAATTTTACAGCAACAAAGGGAAAATAAGATTTTAATGTTAAAGCCTTTGGAAATTTTAAATAATAAACCAAACAAAGAAAGGAAGAAAAAAATAAGTGCTTAGCTACTAAAACGCACGAAGAGACATAAGACATGGGATGGGTAGACCCAATTCTAGAAAGAAAAAAAAGGGTAAAGAAAAAATAAAATAATGTGAGAATGGGAGTTGAAACCCCAACCTCAATTACAAAGGTAGTGTACACCTAATAAATATTGCATCATATAGGCTTTGACCTTAAGTACACACCCACCCACCCCATATATATATA